GATGAACGGGTTTAAGAGTTTTAAGAGTTTAAGAGTTTTTAAGAGTTTTAGCCAAATGCATTATAATATAGTATAGATAGTATAGATTAATTTTTATTAATTAAAAATTAAAAATTAAAAATTATGCATACCGTTTAAATTTTTTTGCAATAAACGTTGAACACGTTCAAAATCCTATAATTGGGACCAACCAAGTCTCGGTCGTTTACCAAACCCTTATCTGATAAGCGTTTATTGATAAGAATTAATATTTTTAATTAACTTATTGAATAAGATTTTAATTTATTAAAAAGGGTATTTTATGGAATCTTTTTATTCTGTAAACGCTTACAGGGTAAGAGTCGTAAGTCTCACTTACCGGGTAAGATTTCTGGTCCTTGTTGTCGCTCTTACCGGGTAAGATTCTCAATCTTTATCATGTTCATTCGATAAAGTAAAGTGACCTAGTAAAAGTAAACTTTTAGTAAACGAACTCTTAATATATATTGGTTTTAACATAACTAAATTAGGTTGAGTATAGAGATACCCTTATGATATATGTATTTTTGTGCATTTTTATGCTACCCTGTCTGATAATACCTGCATCTCGGTACATGACCCCGAGACATATACAAAAAAAAATCGTGTATCAGTATCACATACTAAACAATATTTATCGTGATTTGAAAACATATAGCATCCTCGTCCATTTCTGAAAAACACTAAACATATATGTACATGAGATATCATGTATGCAAGTATACTTTAACAAACCAAAGGGCTTTTGGCCTAGCGGTATCGTAGCTTTTGGCCTCCTAGAAGGTCAGAGGTTCAAACCTCACCATAAGTAAAAAGGTGTGTGAGTTTATTTGTTGCATTTGACGTATATAAGTATTATATACTTCAAAAAACTACACCTGTAAGGATGAAAATACTACACATAGTTTAAAATGTGAATCGTGTATTACTGTATTCCTTTTGATATCAAATCAGATGCAACTTATGCTTGATTCTTATAGACAAATTTGACTCTGTATGAGTGCTACCTACACCGATCTTATATCTTTTCTAGTCGCTTAACTGATCAATGAACGCATAGACTGAATTCATCTGGACATTTGTTACTGTTGGTTATTGTTGCATCCAACAAGGAGGATCCTACCTACCAAGTGACTTGAAGTTGCTCCCTTAACTCGCATGTAACTGTGCAAGTTATTCATATCGCTGGGTTAGGTTCGAGTTGACCAGATGCGACCTAGCCATACGATTTCGGCTCGTGTCACTCACTCAATGCAACATGGTTTACGAGCACTCGCAACCTTCTATACATGTTTGTGACTTGTGCCTGGTGACCTCAACCTGTGGCGCAACCACTTCGTCCATGACATCTGGCTCGCATGCCACTTCATCATGGTGACTTTAGGTTGCATATTAAGCTGACTGATTTGACCTTTAGGCCAATTCAGACCGTTCTCACCAATTTTAACATGTTTTTCTTGGTTCTTTTTGGATGACACTTTGATACAACTTAATTGCATTAAATGACTAAAATACCCCTTGAATACAACAATATTGCTACTTTTTTTTTATTCTGGATATCCAACCCGCTATACGAGTCGACTAATTCCAGGGCGACCACCTGCTTTACAGATAGTCTGGAGTCACCACATTTGAACCTCCGTGGTCACAAGGGGATTTTTATTCCTCCTTGAATTTGAACCTGTGACCTCCTAGTATTTTTGACATTTGGAGCCAAGCTCAAACCAATCAAACACCACCCTTGTGGTTACAATATTGCTAATTAAATGACTAAAATACCCCTTAAGATTCAACATCGTAATTTTTTTTTATGATAATTACTTATATAAACAATATAATTAGCTAGTTAATTATCAATACATTTATTTGAATTCTTTTATTTTTAATAATTAACGGAAAGAGACCCACCAAGAGAATTTTCTACGTAACTTAAAAAGGGGTTTTCTAGATAAAATGTACCTTTCGTACTAATCAAAGTAATTATTCATTAGAAAATATATATTTAATGCCATATTTTATAAATTAAATCATGAAAATATTGAATAAAATAAAACATTATAAAACGGTTTATTATAACGCTTAATTTTTTTGGCATTTAGTAGACCCAGTTTTTTTTTTTTATTAACCTGGATATCCAACCCGCTATGCGAGCCGACTAATCGAAGGGCAACCACCTGCTTTGCAGATAGCCCGGAGTCACCGCATTTGAACCTCCGTGACCACAAGGGGATTTTTATTCCTCCTTGGATTTGAACCTGGGAACTCCTGGTACTTTGACCTTTGGAGCCAAGTTCAAACCAATCAGACACCACCCTTGTGGTTTAGACCAAGTTTTATTATAGTGGTATGAGGTCACAACTAAGTCTTGGTTTTCAAAGTTTCAATTCGGGTCTCTTTTGTATTTCTTGATCGAACACCAGATGATTATGAACACAGTTCCATCCATCAACGACACAATACAAAACTGCATTTTAAATAACACACAAGTCGAATTTACGTATCAGATCATAATACAATCGCTTATTATATGATTCTCAACCCTAATTGTACATTATTTTTAAAAACAAAAATGATCGGTACACAGATTTTAAGGTTGAATTGTCTAAATACATGTCTTAAAACACCATTTAATAATATTTTTACTGATATAATCCTCAAAAACAAGTCATATCAAAAAACTGTATGAGTAATTAATCTTGTTCAAAACCAGTTTGCTTCCATATAGCATTTCTAACCCTACTCAAATCTCTTCCTTTAAGTGTTCTTCCAATACCTTCATGCACAGACAATGAAGCCATTCTAGTTCTTGCTAAATACTCATGAGGAGGCAACCATTCATCATCATCATCATCACCATCATCATCATAACCATCATCATGATGCTTGTAAATGCATCCATCCATCCTCGATATCTTCGACCAGTCCGGTATGTCGACCGGCAACGACTTCCCGACCAATTCTTTTTGATGTCGCGACTTTGTTGACGATTCCACCGAGGTGGGCTTTTTGCGGTGGTCGTCGTTATCATTATCATCGTCGTCGTTTTTGTTCCGGACATCGGATTTGTTGATCTCGAGGCCACTATCGCCACCGTAATCGATGGGGTTGATGGTGGAGTTTGGTCTCCGACGGTGGTGGTGATGGTGGTGGGTGGTGGTTGTTGCCATGGGTGGTGGGCGGGGGTTGGGGTGTTATTAATGGGTATGGTATATATAATGGTGTAATGGATAAGGCATTTATTTATATATATATATATTAAACAAGATTTTATAGTACATTGTACATGGACAGCACATAGAAAATTTGTGATGTATGTGGTCTATTTAATTTCCATTTTAATCTTATATTCTTTAAATTATTTTATTTATTTATGAAATAAAAAATACATAACTTTGAGATATTTTGATGATGTCAAAATATTTTTTATTAAATGTATTTATTTATTTGATATCATTTATCTTTAAATTATTGTTTTTAATAATCTATACTATATGATAAAATATTTGACAAAAATTCTTAAAAACCATTTTTTATGCATGAAGTACTATTTATTGATGCATATTACTTAAAAATCAAGATTACAAATAAATTTTACATATGTACAACTTATTAAAGCTTCATACTTGAATTCGTGTAACTAACTATAGATAAGCATAATTAAATAGATGATAAACATCTTATTTTAAATAAAAAAAATTAAAAATATAATTAGAATAATCATTGAGTTCTAAAAAAATGCTTAATTATTATCTTTATAAAAGATTATATTATTAAACCAAAAAAATGAATTAGATAAATACACAAAAAAAATGAAATTTTAAAGTCATTTTGATACTAATATCAATATTTTTTTTTCTATTTTTATCAACCGAGACCAAAAAAAAAAAAAAAAAACACTAAAATGAAGATGTATCTCGCTGCATTATACGAATACTCTTTTAATATATAAGAAAAAGGTTCAATTAAAAACTTTAAATATTTTAATAATCTGATAATCAAAAATTTTATTTAATATTTATAATAAATAATATTGGATAATAACAAATATATTAATCATGAATATCTTTCATTATAATATTTATTACATTATATGTCATAATATTATATAAATATACTTGTATTTATGATATATATATTTTTATTTTTTTGATTGGTGTATAATGAATGGTAATATACCAAATTTGATGTAATATCTAGTGTTCCTCATGGAGTGACTGGATATCATATTTGATGTTTGCATTATGAAATATTTAAGTTTTTGTTTTAAAAACTCTTAATTTAATGTATATACTTTTCATTTTCTAAAATAATTCTATTTTATCATTTTTTATATGTTAAGAATAGAGTTTTTAAAAGCTTTTACCATTATTATCAGAGTATTCATGCAATGTAGCGAGATAAATCTTTATTTTAATATTTAGTTTTTATTTTTTGTCTCTATCAACATAATACAATTTTATGTGGTATTGTGAAAAACGATAATGTTTATATTTTTGAATGAAATATAAGTTTGAAGATAGCATACAAATTTAAAAAAAATAAAAAATCGATATTAATATCAAATTAATTATTTAATAGTTCTCGTTTTTTGGTGTAACTTATTTAATTCAATTTAGATTTAATAGCAAAGTAATTTTTATTTGTTTATCCTTTCTTTAATTTGTTTATCTACAGTTAATTACACAAATTCAAACATGAAACTTTAATAAGTTGTACTTATGCATAATTTACTTGTAATCTTGAATATTAAGTGATATGCATCAATATACAGTATTTCATGCATAAAAAATAGTTTTTAATAATTTTTGTCAAATACTTTATAATATAGTATAGATAATATATAAAAAGGCAAATGACATGAAAAAGTAACGTACTTTAACTTAATTGCATATAAAATTTTAAACATTTAGGTAGTGTTTGGTACGTAGACTGGATGAGACAGGATGGGACGGTACGGGACATGACGGGACGGTACGGGACAAGATTAATTGTCTGTCCTATGTTTGGTACGATTAGGACAGAACATGACAAAATTATTAAAATGATCATATTACCCTTAAATGTTGTTAAATGTTATTTTATATCATATAATGATTATAAAATGACGACAAATCAACCAAAATATTGTCATTTTAACTTTAGTCCCATGTTGTTCCACATTTTTTGGTGGAACAAGAAATATCAAGATTTGTCCCATTAAAATTAAAAATAGTGCCACCTTATCCCATGTTTTTTTTGTCCACGACATGCCAAACATGAGACTTTTTTTTTGTTCCGTCATGTCCCATGTAGTCTGCATATCAAACGCACCCTTAAGTACCCGAGTAACTGGTTGAAGACTAATTTTAGATTAAAAAAATAAATGTCACTAACCACGTCAGCAAATAATACTGAGTTGGATACCATATTACTCGCCACATCAGCATGATAACCGGTTAATGCTTTGACCAGTTACTTGGGTACTTAAATGTTTAAAACTTTACATCTTAGGTATCAAAATGGAAGTTTTAAAAGTACATTATCCAAAATATGAATCAAGTTAAAGTACGTTACTTTTTTATGTAATTGTTCATGGATAAATAATATTTTATTAAATATATTATATATTTTAATAAAATAATTAATTTTATAATCTTTAAAATAAAAAATCACAAAATGATTTTTTATTGAGATTTTTATTTATATATTTTTTTTCAGAATTTGTGTCGGAGATGCTAGAATCCGAGACATGTATGGTTGGCAAAGCAAAGTCCAACAAATTACGTCCCCATTTTTGCTTACTTTCATAGAAAAGAATGGGAAACGTCAATGCAAATTTAATTATTACTCTTATAATAAATAATATATAAAAAATATTAGTAGCTTGTGGGTTGGATTGATCGGATTGAAGACATTTGAACAACACAACCCAATGTTTGCGGTTTGAAAAATCTTAAACCCAACCCAACTCGAACCAAAGTGCAACCCAACCCGTGCGTTGTGGTCGGGTTAGTCGGTTGATACTTTGGTATATTAAAATATTCTTCTAATATAGAATATGTTATCTCTCTACTCATAATTTCTTTTTCAACATCAACCATTTGATACAACTTATCCATACTTCTTACGTATATCACATTCAATTAATTTTCTCAATTTACATATATATGTTCACAGTTATTGAACATATATACGAATGGGTTATATGAAGATGTAAATAGATTGAAAATATGTGTATATGAAGAGCATACATGATAGTCTAAGAGGTTGTTTTTTTTAAAAAAAAAACTCTGAATACCCTCTGAAGTCTGAATCAGTCAGACCTTTGGGTATTCAGTGTGTTTTTTTTTCAATTAAAAGCTTAAAAGCTATGATTAGGTCTGAATCATTTAGAGAAAAACTAAACCCTTTCTACTTCAAAATGTGGTGGTGTATGATTTCTGTTTTGGTTCTCTTTGCTTGGTTGATTTCTGTGTTGGTTCTTTTTCTGTTTTGATTACGATATTTCATACACTGTGTATGAAATAATCACTGTCAAAGGACATACATTGATCTCTCTTCCCGGCTTTCAAATAAAGCACCTTCATTTAGGGCGTGTAAGTTGAAATTTTAAATTACAAGTTTGCCTTGGAACTCCCAAATTAACAAAGTTTTCACAGATATCCCAAAAATGACACTGTTTTTGATAGCCTCTAATTAAAACCTCTGTATGACTGAGATTGATCCTCACGGTCATCAACGTTTTTGTGGTTCTCATTTGATTACCGTCCTAAAATGATGATATTATTAGTTAATAAAAGGAATGCGATAATAAAGTATAGAGTAAACTACAAATTTGATCTCTGTGGTTTGTCAAAAACAACACTTTTATTATATCAAACAATTTAAATTTTTATAAAGTTATAAAACTAAAAAGAAAACAAGAACCATTTATATCAAACTTATAAGAAGAATGATATCAATAGTGCAGATCAGTATTAATCTTTTGAGTCTCTTTACTCATTATTTTTTTCAATCTGTAAATAACTGATGTTCGACTATCTGTGCACGAGAATGAGAGTAAAGATTTACTTATTAGGGTTTTAGTTTTTACGTTTCCTTTTAATGTTTACGTAAGTCTTAAGTGTCGTCCATAATTATCATTTATCCCTCAAGTTATATGTTTAAAGTACCAGAAAGTCTCAGGTTCAAATCCAAAGAGAAATAAAAATCCTCTTGTGGCCACGGAGGTTCAAATACAGTGACTATGGGCTATATGCAAAGCAGGTGGTCGCCCTGGGATTAGTCGGCTCGCATAGCGGGTTGGATATCCAGGTTAATGAAAAAAAGATTAATAAAAATCCCATGCCTTACTCAATAACGTGACATAACTCACCATAACACGTTATAACAGAACTCAAGTCTTAAAGCAGAGCCACACGAAGCCAAGACTAGGTGTCGTAACGCGCTATAACGAGTTATTTTGAACCACTGTCATTGATACTGATGTTGATTTTAACAATGTCACGAATCGACAACACGAACAGAAGTTGAATCAAACATACTAATATGTTATGTTTCTATGTTTTGGATGTGATCATGGAGCTTTGTACTCGTATCAAACACGTAAACCTCCACGTTACATACAAGCGTTGTCGTTTAGTAGCACTTGTGATTTGATGGAGCAACGATACCCCATTAAAGAGATTGAAGACATGTTCATTAGTTTCATCGTGGTTGATTGTCTATGACAATGCTTGAGGTATTGTCAACTTTACAGATATGATATTTGGTGGCAACTGCTTTTATAAAAACATGTGCTTCATGAATTCTTAATAACAGATACTGTTTTTTAACTAATTCACAATTCAATTTCAGATGCGTGTTAAATGTTTAAGTCAATGTATTTATGTATCAGCTATTTTTTCGTGATTGTACAGTGCGTTGATTTATGTTACCAATTTGGTGGCATGAACAGATGTACACCTAAAATTGGTGTTAATTGACCCATACAATTTTCAAAAACTCATATTTATTTTATTGTATGAATTTTATTCTTTTAAATACATTTCTTCTTTTGACCATTAAAATTTTATATCAAATTATGACCTGTTACCAGTATTTATGGTATATAATATATTATTGGTCTGTAGTAGTTTAGTTTCTTTCAGTTTTCTAACATTATATGGCCAAATACTTCATCCCTTGTTTAACCAGATATGTTAAAAGAGTAAGGGGTTGTTTGTTTACCTCTTAATAGTTTCATTAAGAGACAACCTCTGAACCGTTACGATGTGAATCTTGTTTGACAAAAAAAAAATATGTCTCTTAATGGTTCTAATATATTCTGAATGATTTTGCAACATGTGTCTCCCTTAACCATTCAGCGTTCTAATTTTATTGTGAACAATTACCAAACAATTATATTACATTTTACACTATATCATGAAAGTCTTTTAATCATTCTGACCACTTAATCATTCTGTCACAAACCATCCAGCAACTACCAAACAGCCCCTCGATTACAAATTTAGTCCATATGAGGTCAGAGCTTCAAACCTCAACACGGGTGAGGAATGTGTGTGAGATTATTTGTTGCATTTGTCGTATATAAATATTATATACTTCAAAAAAATGATAAAATTATAGAATATTTTAACAATATAATTAACGTTCAAAGCTCTAAAAAGGCAATTTGTTGGAATTCATAGTAACTTTTTTTATTCAAAATATTCTAACTTTTGATTTTCTAAAGAAATTATAAAAAATCTGTTGCAGATACTCTTATATTTACAATTTATTGTTGTTTTCGTCTATTTGATTTATAATTCTGCTATCATATTTAAAGATGGGAGTTAAACTCACCGGTGAAAATAACAATGAATTATAAATCATAGGATGAAAACAAAACAAAAACAAAAGTCAAAACTTTTTAACGAATCACGTACACGAAAAAGGTAATTTAGAGGGTGTTTGGGATTGCTTATTTAAAACAACTTATGTTTTTTTGTGAAAGTGCTTATTAACTTATATAGTATCAAACCGGAGTTTCGTAAAAAGTGTTTGGATTAGCTTATAGCGGTACCAAAAAAACAACAAGTTGATAAGTTGTTTTTTTAGTGTTTGGCAAATTTTGCTTATTTATGTAAAATGATCAAAAATGACATTCTTCCATATTAATGACTTATGGAGTGTTTGAGATTGCTTATTAATTTATTTGATTTTTTAACATGTAAAAATTAACAAACATTAATAAAACAAGGCTAAAATGATAAACTGCTAATAATCAGTTTTTGACAAGTCAAGAATGATTAACTTATTAAAAACTGTTTATCATCGGTTTGACACCGGTATAAGCAATTTTAGTTTTTCTCATTCAAACACTAACATTTAGCTTATTACCAATATCAGACTGAAATAAGTCAAAAAAACCCTTAAAATAAGGAATCCTAAACAGTAAACACTACTCTAAGACAAATTTAAGTTTATAAAAAAAGCATTTTTGAACCACAATCTCAAACAAACCTGATCGTCCCATGCACGTGATTGTAAACCTTTTTCTTTCCAAATTTTTCCACGTGTAACGATGTAATTGGTTAGGTTTTGTTTTTTAAAGATAAAATATAAAAAATATGACTTCAACAAAAATATTAAAAAAATATAACATAATTCATGTTTTTCATTTCCCTACAAATAGAATTCAATATTGATATATTTTTATCGACCAATCTTTCTTTTCATTTCAATGCTCTTATTATCTTGTAAATTCCAAATTTTTTAGTTTTTCTTAATGTTCTGTTATGGATCCAAACTTCCCAATTTTTTTAAACTTTTATACTTAAAACAAAAAATAATAATAACTGGTTGAAAAAGATTGTGAGTAAACATAGTAAAAAAAATGAGATTGGTTGAAGTTGAAAATCGTACAGGTGGATGAGAGAGAAAATAATATTTTAATTAAGATTAAGTTGGAAGAGATTGTGATTAAAGATAGACAGGGCCGTCCCTTAGCATGTTAAATGTGAGATTTTGAACAGGGCACCCAAAATTTTGGGGCCCAAACTTGTGTTTAGGGTCTTTTTATCAACCTATGTAAAATTATAGCCGAAATTATTTAAGTTCAAATTATTAATGGTTTAGGTTTTGGTTCAGATTGTTAATCGTTTTAGGTTTAGCTCATTTTTGTTTTTAACATATATTCTCTGTTATCTCATTTATATAATGCAATCAAAAGTTTTAGATGTAGCATGACCTTTATAAAGATTGGAACGTCCCTGAAGATAATATTAGCATCTTAAAGAGATTAATGAGACTCACAACTTATTTAGTCAACTATACATGACTATTTAATAGTGACTTAAAGATATAGAAAGTGACTTATTCAGTAGAATTCTATGGGTAAGCTTAATTCAGAAAACCAAGTTTTTTTTTTCATACTTGTTAATACCCAATAAAAAAACATGATCCCTCCCAAAAAAATATTCTCAATCTATACATATAGATTAATTAATACAGACAACTTTATTAATAGGGTTAAAAAAAGACCAAAAAATCGGTCCCGATCTTTGATTTACTATTCATAACCGGTCCCGACCAAAAACTCATAGGTCGGTCTCCATGGTTTGTAACAGGTCCCGGTCCCTGTCCGGGCCCATTTTTTTTTCAAAAATTAATTTAGCATGTAAAAAAAAGTATCCTTTGAATTTTTTTTTCCTTTTTGAATAATATCTTATTAAAATATTTTTTAAAATTTCTAATTGGGTCATTTTAAAAACACTTTAAAAATATTTATTTAATTTTTTTTACACAAAAATGTAATAAATGTTTTTATAATTACGTTTTTTTTTAGATTTAATATTAGAACACTTACACACACTTGAAAAACATTAAAAAGAACTTGTAAAGCTTAAAAAAACTTGAAGTTCTTGGTAAAAAGAAACTTGACCATCTTGTAGAAATATTGAAAAATTGAAGGACTGTTTACCAAACACTTACTCAGTAAATATTTACCTGTCAAATTCAACACTATCATTTACTTTCGGGGTAAAATTTTAGTCAGCAAAAATAGCATCGTATGCAATAATTTACCTGATAAACGTTGACCGTGGAAGGAGCCATTGCTTTTACTTACCAGGTAAGAATCTTGGCAGTTGCATCGCTCTTACCAGATAATATTCTTGATACTTGACATATTCACTCGATAAAATAATGTAACTTGGGAAACACTTACTCAGGTAAACGTTTGATAAACGGCCCCTTAATATATAATTCATAAAAAAAATCGGACCTATGTATAAATAGTCCTGATCCCATGCCGCACCGAGACGTGCATTTCGATAAAAATCGTAATCAGTTGCAGAGGAGCACCGGGCCGGTTTCGATCCATTCCAGGCCCATTTAATCATCTCTACATCAAATTCAAATATATGAAAATTTTGATGGGCCCAAAATCAACAAAACGGGCCCAGATACCCAAACCCAGTCCATCTAATCATATTTAACCCACAAAACCCTAGCCATGTCAAATACTCCTACTTGTGCTATTCGTTCCTTCTTTCAAACCCTCAATTCACAACAGCAGCATACGAATTCGCCGGAGAAATGCCACCAAAGTTCGATCCATCTCAGGTCGTTGACGTCTACGTCCGAGTCACCGGCGGTGAGGTCGGTGCAGCATCTTCACTCGCCCCCAAAATCGGACCTCTAGGTCTGTCTCCGAAGAAGATTGGAGAAGACATTGCAAAAGAAACCGCCAAGGACTGGAAGGGATTGCGTGTCACTGTCAAGCTTACCGTCCAAAACCGTCAGGCCAAAGTCTCCGTTGTTCCATCCGCCGCTGCTCTAGTGATCAAAGCACTAAAAGAACCCGAACGCGATCGGAAGAAGGTGAAGAACATCAAACATTCGGGAAACATATCGTTAGATGATGTTATCGAGATAGCGAAAGTGATGAGACCGAGATCGATGGCGAAGGAGTTAACAGGAACGGTGAAGGAGATCCTCGGGACGTGCGTTTCAGTTGGATGTACCGTTGATGGAAAGGATCCTAAGGATTTGCAACAGGAGATTGCTGATGGTGATGTGGAGGTTCCTCTAGATTGATGGAGTACGTTTTAGGGCTATAATTTTGCTGGTATTTTCGTCTCGTTGTAAGTGTTTCTAGCTAGGAATTTTGAAAGCGATTGCTTGCTTTTGATATATCAAAACGAATCCTATCTGAAACATCTTCGTTGAATTCAGATGAATGATTTGAAATGGTATCATATGATTTGAACCCCCCCCCCCCCC